CAGTGAAACCCTGGAGAATGTGAGTGTTGTGGCGGTACGTGGTGACGCCGGCTCACGTGGAGGAGCTGCTCTCTGATCAGCTCGCAGGGCAGCAGCAGCAGCCTGCAGTGAGATGCATAACTCAGCGTTTTACCTTCCACTGGCTGCACTCGCTCATTCTACCTCTCCTACGATGAGTCACCACAACAAGCAGCTTCAGAAATCATCCTGCATTAACGGTCCAGGATGGACGCCTTGCGTTTTGCCCTCTTCCACTGTTCCTCACATGCACACACATGCATCCAACCGACCAAATGACAGTAGCCAGTCTGACAGGAGAACAGAGAGAACGCATCCCATAATCAAACCACCAGTTACTGGACTAAAAATATCCCAGCCACACTCACATACGTGCACACCCCTCTCAGCACGTGCGTGGACATACATAACCCTTACATAAATGCAGCAAAGGAGGCAGTGACGCTGAACAAATTATCTCATTGAATTACATCTTCGTCTTGACTCTGCAGAAAGAGGAGCCGGGTCACCTTGTTGTTGCTTTGTGGAGATTTAAGACTTCCCTTTTGGGCCTGAGTCAAAGAGCAGATCTGCCTCTGGCAACGACACACACACGCACACACAGGATGGGATGCGAGCAGCACACGGCTTTGCAGAAAAGAGGAAACGGCGTGTGCATCCAACTGGACTGGAAGATATGAATCTTACATGTTTACAGTCTGGAGAGCAAAACAGTGCAGCGACTGGAGCTGAGAGCTGTGTGAGGTTACAGGAGAGGGGTGAAATATGTGGATGAGGGAGACTTCACACAAGATATCCAGATGTGAGAGCACCTATGGCTCTCTCTCTTCCTACCCTTATTCCCTTTCCTCTCTCTGAAGGGAGGAACTGCACAACTACACACACACACACACACACACACACACTGGTAGCTACAGTAAAAGCAGAGAGTGTACTGTATCTGAGGAGAGCTGTCAGAGTGAATCTGAAGCCATAAAGCAAAATGATGCAGGCTGCAGCTACAGAGGCACAGAGGAGTCAAACTATAGGCAGCAGGGGGGGAAGTATAAAGGGACGGTTTCATAAATAGAACAAAATACAGAGACTCTGCTGCTGCTGGAGAAGATTTGGCCCTCGGTGCATACTGCATACCAACACAAGCAGGGGATGGCTGAAAATACCCCCTGTCCATACAATGAGGATTTAAACAGCAGACATTTTTCCATAGGCTGCATATGTGCATGTGTGGATCAGTCATGGAGTGGGCTTATGTAGGTGTATGTGTGAGGAAGGGGGTGGTGGTGGGGGTGGGGGCGTCTCATAACCTGCCTGGCAACCACCAGAATAAACACCCTCCTCCTCCTCCTCCTCCTCCTCCTACGATGGATATAAGCGCCCTGACTTATCCTATTCCGCTCGCACAGGCCATATTCGCCGCTTTATTCCAACCAGGTGCACCGTATGTGCAGAAATACATGATGCTGTCGTTTCCATGACAACCTTAGCCTGGCTTAAACCCTGCATTGAGCACGCTGGGCGGGTCCGGCGGTGACAATAGAGGGCTAATACAGAGGGGAAACGGCACAAGTGATGCACATTAATCGCCTTGTATATGTTGGGGTTGGTAAAGGACGAGTATATGCAGCTGAGGCCCTGTGGGTGGGCCCCTGGGTGCTCACAATCCTGTCTCAACGAGAGGGAGAAATAAGCCACAGCTTGTTTAAGATGCTCTTATTGTTGTATATTGTTATAAGATGAATGTATGAATGCAGTTTACTGGAGGCTGAGTGTCGGTGCGCATCTGTCATGACGCGTCAAACAGAGCGCATGGTGCTGGCCGCCGCCGCCGCCGCCGCCGCTTACCTCATTCTCCCGTCTTTTATCCAGCCGGAGATGATGGCACTGGTGAGGCTGCTGAACACAACCGACAGTCCGCTTGTTTTCCTGTATACACAGTCTGAGAGGCTTCACCGAGCCCACCGTGCGTCCCCTATATGCGCCTCTGTAGAGATATTAGATGATGAGTCGTGTTGCAGGAACGCTAAGCGAGGACACGAGCGTTTTCTCCCATCCGCTTTGTGCTCCGTTGTCTCTGCTCTCCACGCGCGCCGCTGCGTATCCGTAAGTCCATGTTCAGCCGGGGCTCGCGCTCGGTAGAAGACGGTGAACGGTGGTGGTCAGCCGCCGCCTCCCTCATGCCATGGTTTCTTCCCATTCGGAGTGTTTTGGTGAGGTGGAGAGATTTGGGGGGGAAATGCTAATGCTGCGTGCGAGGAGGGGAGAGGGGGCAGAGAGGCCGGCTCAATGCTGCCCACCTGTGGAGAAGACGCGCACGTGCAGCCTAATGGCGCCCCTCTACCCATGACTACGGGGACTGTAGGAGCTCTGTGGATACAACTAAATTTATGGTTTTTGCAAATCTAAAAAAGGATGAAATTGCTTTATAAGATAATTATGATGGATTTAGTCTATTTATTTGTACCTGAAACTGTCCCAAACACAGATAAGTATTTATTAAAGATACTAGTAGCAGGAAAGCCATAAAGTTGATCCTCCAACATTGGCCCAACAGCTGGGGACTATAAACTAAATACACTGTATGAACAGACTTTTATTTTAAGATGTGAGATGGAAAAATGTACAAATAAAGTGGGACATTGTAGGCCTGTTTTTTGTTTCTTCAATAAAAAAAGACTTACAAAAGAAGGATGAAATGGTTTCACTGTCTACAGATGGACTTTACATTGAGTGTCTCTTGGGTGTGATAATGGATGATAAACTGTCATGGAAATCTCATATAGAACATGTGAAGACAAAGGAATATTGTGTGTGTATGTGTTAGATCACAAGGCAATGAGAAGCCTGTACTGTTCTTATTCTGCCGTACTTAGGTTTACACAGGACATTGTCACCTCTGTCCCTCTCACGCATAGTTAGATTACACTGCTATTTATATTCATATTTATTTAACTGGTCACTCATTCCATTGTGCACTTTAAATACCAGATGCCTCTTAGTCCAAGGCTCTGCTGGAACCCTCCTTACTCTACATGTGTGCTTTTATTTATCTGTAGCCGAGCACAGAAGAACATTTCACTTTAAGCACCAGTTTGCACGGACGACATTAAAACAGACGTGTATTTCAGTGGCAGGTGTTAAACTGAGGAATTCTTTAGACAATGATTTAAAGGGACGTCTAACTATTTTTCAGTTTAAGAAAATGTATAAAGAAAAAATAACTGGACTATATGGAGTTGACATGTAGCAGCTGTTCTGGCTTCTGATTCTTCTGTTTAATCAGTGATGTTTCCATCTGAAATTACTGTAGGTACTGGTTATTAACTGCAACTGTCAGACCGTCTGTTTCTTATTTATGTGTGTTTTGAGAGAGAGACAGGTAAAATCAGACTGTTTTCTTCTCCCTGTTCCTTCTCGATCATGGAATGTGTGTTATAATTTTTGACTGTGGCTTTGTTTGCTGCGGATGGACATGAGTGGAAAAAATAAATGAATGAATGAATTTTAGTTTATGGGCCACATACAGCCCAGTGTGATCTCAGATGGAGAATGGCCAATGAATCCATCGCACAATAACCTTAAAGGACCATCAGCTCCAACATTTTCTTTTTTTGTGTGTAAAGAATTACATGTACATTCTGTAGATGTTCATCATTTTACAAAACAATGAATAAAAAAAAAAAATTCATCACTGGTCCAACTTGAAAAAAATAAGGTAACAATTTGCATGTCTCTTTTTAAGTAGTTCCAACTCTGACATTATTGAGTAAATCCTTCAAGTCTTTTATAATCTGACATACAATCTTACAACATAATTTGCTTTAACCTTGAAAGAGTTAATTTAGTTGAACCATATTCATATTTATCCAAAAGTTGTATTGATATTTAGTGGTCAAACTATTTTATTTAAGATACTCTAACTTATTTATTCTAATTTCATCCTGCTCAAAATGTCAAAAGTGTTTTTGATTTTTACCAACTTCTTAAAATAAGTTGTCAATTTAATAAACAATGTAATATTTTTATGCTGAAAAACTGTAGAAAAGTAACCCTGTTTTCCACCAACCACATGAATCCTTTTAAGAGTCTACACAGAATAAAAAAATGATTTTACAGTTAATCAACTAAATGTGTGTCATACAGCCTATCACCTTTTTCTTTACTTTTTTAAACCTCATTAGTGTCAGCTTGTCTTGGATCCCCGAGCTAAGCTAGCTATGGATTCCAGATCGGGAAAAAAAAAAGTCTGGGAGGACAATAGAGAATTTAACAGACCGGGACATAGTCGTTTGCTTTTACCGCCAACCCTGCAAAGTTAAAGTACCCAACAATCATGAATAGGCCACCACAGAGTAGCCACCTTGTGGTAAAACATATTAAAAAATGCTCATGTAGACCTATAAGTTATGGTGATGTTACTGTTACCTTCATTTTAAGGCTCAAATATATTTTGCTGCTCCAGGCAGATTATCTGAGAGCTTTTTGGCCCAAAATGTCTCTTTTGACAGTAAAGGTTGCCGACAACTGGTTTAGACTCGTGTTTGGAATAAAGTTTTAGTGAAAATGCATATGTTTGGGAAGTACGACTGGATACATGAGACTCGGATTATACCATGAGTTGTGGGCAAGTTTGTAAAATGTTTTGATATAATTTTGCTGTTGTTAAACATGTCTCTGTTTATTTCAACTCATTAGGAATGTTCCGCATTTTTGGATTCTCCGTTTATCCAGGAGGCATACGAGACTGATTTACAAATGGCCATTTTGTGGGTGAAGTATTCCTTTAAGATGCCCAAACCTCTTTTACTCTCAGTACTAGAACTATTACTGGTATTTATGGGCATTTTTATGCAGAAATATAAATTTAACACGTCATCTCTTAGAGATTGTGATCAGACCTCCTCTTGAAATAAAGACTGTAAAATAAAGAAAACCCACAAAATAAAAACACAGCGATGAAGGTGAAAATATAAGACACAGCCTCGTAGGAATTTCATGTTGCATTTACTTCCAGACAAATGTTAAATGTTCAATGGTATTCTGCAGCCCCAAGTGTTTAGTGGTAAGACAAATCACGTTACATTCACTCTGTAGAGTGGTGACTTCATATTACTGCTGTTAAAGTTCAGTGGTTTTCCTGATAGGACAACTCCAACCATCAACCCAACACCAACATGCCTCAGATATAAGTGGCAGTTATGATCATACTAAAACTCTGCTGAACCCCTGTCAGAGAAATCTTATTTATTCATGCACGTGTGTAATATTGTCCTAGTGTTAACCATAAGATGAGGAGTGTGATGTACAGTAGGTGTACGGACAGAACGCAGCTCGGAAGGTTGAAAGCAGACATCATTGGTTCACGAAAAGCTTCGGTAAGTACTAAATGGTGATTTGCTTGTTGTGTTGTGCAGGTGAATACACCTGCTGCATGTTCATCAGGTTGAAGCAGTGCATTACTCAGTCAGTCAGTTAAATATCTCGCCAGTGACTGATGATGCACGACTGAGGAGCACATCAGACGTAAACAGTTACAGTGTAATGGTCTCATCCTTCCTCTTCCCGAAACAGATACATACAGATTTGAAAAGGCTTCACATTGTTGAAAAATCCCCAATACATGCTTTTCATTTTCCCTGCACCTCAAGGCAAAGGAAACACACAATGCATCCCAAAAAATGTGAAACAGTTTCAAATGCTGTATATGCACCCTTATTTTGCTTGTGTCTATTTCAAGCCTCTCAGTATATTTACACATCTGGGACTAAACGGGGATTTGTTGCGGGGGAAAACTCAAGGAACTGAAAGTGGCAGTGAAGGATTTGTCTCATGATGTATAAATAATTGGAAAGGTGCCTTTTATTAAAGACCTGGAAGCACAAAAACGTAGAACATGTTCAGATAATGTCGTAGAAAATGATTCCTAACTCTGAATGCTGATATTCCTTAAATGATCGTAGTTTAGGTGACGTCACATCTGACTGGATCTTGCTGTATCTAATTATCATGTCCACCAATTTCAGCATTTGCCCAGACTGTATGGGTTGATTTCATACACTATGAGGCAAATGAGTCAGTAATGGCTGGACGACAGCTGAATCTAATTATTGTTTTAGTGAGATGTGTTCAGGGCTCGTTTCGATGTGTCACTGTTAGTAACAGGGAGGAGTCCCGCTTCACTAGTGCTTTCCTGAGTTGTTAAATACAAAACAAAAGAAAGTTTAACAATTAGAAAATCACTATGTTCTTCCTTCCTTTTCATACAGTTTTTTTGCTCCAATGCTCTTGGATCTCCAGCACGGTGGCGATACTCAGTCTGGAACCTCTTCAGTCCGTTATCTGTGGCAGGAGTGCACACGATACAAGAACAGTGAAAGCCAAATGATACAGATGCAGTCAGAAAGTCAGAGCCTTTGGTTCTGTTTAGTTGGATTCAATCCGATTTGTTTTGTCTTGTGTCATTGGTGACTTGGCTACAGTACGTGGAAAATTTGCTTTTGTACATGTAGTGTGAACAAAGAAATGGTGAAATATTCAGGAATTATTATTTTTTTTGTATTGCAACCGCACTTTAACACGTCCATCAGTTCATCTCAGATCAGGAAGAAAAACCTTGAGTTCCTCTTCTGTCAATTCACTTCAGTTCAGGTAGATCCACCTTTTTTTTAGCATCTGAGTTAATTTAAGTTTGGTTTGGTTCAGTTTAGTGCAGTTCAGTTCAGTTCAGTTCGCTTCAGCTGGGGTTCAGGCCCCAGCAGCAGTAAGAAACCAACAGTATCTGTTTCAGTCGACTCCTCAGACTATCCTCCACTGAATCACGCTCATGTCCTTCCCTCCAGTTGACACCAGGTAGCTGTCATCATGCAGAAAAGTCACGTTGGTCACGTGACTGCTGTGGCCGCCATAAACATGGCTGGGAGCCTGGAAAGAAAAACAAATAAAGAGCTTTGCCTTTCAATAAATTGTGAATGAAAGTTTTAGTCCCATGTTTTTGTGTCTAAGGTGCTTTCAGACCTAGAGTTGTCTTGCTTTGGTCCGAATCAGGGACTAATTTTGTTACAAAGTTGTATAATTACCTAGAGTTGGTTCGTGTTCTCACGGCAGCATTTACAAGCGGACCAGTTAACATGCCTTGTGTGAGAAAGCTGCTCTTGATTCGACAGAATTTCCATGCGGGAAAAATCCAGGAAGTAAACAAAATGTTGAAGAAGAGTACACTTGCAAGATAAATGTGACACTTTCTAATGTCACAGTGGAGGGACAACTATGCAGCTTGATTTTAGCGCTGCTCATCGTGGACTATATTGCTGTCATTGTTCATTTTAATCAAACCATACAGTTTGAAAACGAGGCACGGCTCCAACTAGAAAACAATGTTTTGATGCATTGGATGTGCTGAATGTGCATATTAAGGCAGTACAGGAGGAGGTGCACATTATCAATCCTCCAGGACTGTAACATGCTCATGTTTAACCCAAACAATGTGTAATGCGACTGCAGTTGGTTCGGATCAAAGTCAGAACACGTTCTCACCACAAACGAACCGCAGAGTTTGTTTGTAACCGGACTGAGATCACCTCTTCAAGAAGGTCTGGGTCTGGTTGTTTTGGTGCACACCTGAGTGCGATTGCTGTGTTCACACCTGCCCAAACGAACCGCACTTAAGGGGGCAAACCAACCTCAGTTTGACTGAACCGAACCAAACAAGGCAGGTGTGAAAGCACCCTGAGTGACCAATGGGAACCACGGTTTTTAAAATTGGTCCAGTATTGAATGAGAGGACAGTACACAGTATCTTACCCTGAACTGTGAACAGGGGTGTGAGAACAGGTGGACCTTCCCAAAGTCGTCCCCAGTAACCAGGAGGCTCTTATCATTGGACCTGCAGACAGCGTTGATGTCGGTGCCGTCTGAGCCGTCGGGCCACAAGCCTGAGGAGCAGAGACGACTATCGATTGGACAATAAAACACAAACACACACCTAGAGAAAAAGAAGTAAGGAGCCTTCACTTACCAAAGACCTGGAAACCCAGAGGGCAGGTGTGGGTGGCCCACTCTATGTCTCTGGTGGTCTCCACACTGACCACCTGTTTACACACTGACGGGATCCCTAGGAAAACACACACAAACAAAGTACACAACATGTTTTAGCATATGTTAATATTATGGGTGCTGTTATGTTGACAAAAATGTTTCTTATTCTGTCTTGGTCATTTAGACGTACATCAGTTCACATGTAAACTATTTTTGAAATGGAAAAGAAATTGAATTAAAGGGATAGTCTGGAAAACAACAGCTTTGTCTTTGGCTGTGAGTGAATGACAATGATCATACTTACAATACAGTATCTCATAGTCCCCTGAATTAGACACCAGGTACTGGGAGTCCACTGACCAGTCCAGATGGGTGATGAAACTAGAGTGGCCCTGAGATGTGACACAAAAAGACCAGGTTAGATAATTTAGCTTCACTGTATTCCTGGACTAGAGGCAGTATGGTTTTCAAGCACCAGAAATGATTCTAAAAATGTGGATTGGATTTGATATGGCCGCCCTCAGTCATTATGTTTACGTAGACTCAGCACTGTATGACTCAGCCTGTTGTCATTTACCATTTTACAGCTCCTGCATCGACACACAGTGAGGACAGGGTGTACGGAACGGAGGCCCAAACATAGAGCCCAGGAGGGGACTAAATATAAAGATGATGCCTGGAGGAACTAAAAATAATGGAGCCACGGATGAGGGGGGGATTATAAATACAGGTGCTCACCGAGCATTTTCCCACTCGACTGTACTTCCTTCCATTTTCCACCACAGCGTAGATGTAGATGTAGTTGTCATGGGAGCCGATGGCCAGGAAGTTACCATCTAAATAACACAAAAGAAGACAAGAAGATTATTGACGGTAAAATAAAACAAAATGTACATCTTTGAAGTTTTGCCTTCTTAATATTTTCCCCTGACGTGAACACACACTGTGCTGTAACAAATAACAACAGACAGTGAAAACACTCTGTATGCACAGGGGAAACACTCTGTCAGCAGTTATCACCATACCTGGCCCGTAGCACATGACGGACAGCTGTTCATTCCCATCTGTGTGCACTGTGACGAGATCCTTAGAGTCAGTGTCCAGAACCAGCCACCTGCAGGATCAATGACAGCTCAACAACCTTGCTTTTAAAATCTGCTCTTGAAGATTGTGCCAATGACGGTTTTCTTTTTTAGCTGATCAAATCATGTAAACATTTCTTCAGTGTTGTTTGGTGATGGGATCTCCTACCTGCCAGTCTGCGTTCCTATGGCAACCACAGCTCCAGATGGGTGGAAGCCTGCTGATTGGGCAGCATCCTATCAGACACAGGAAGAAAAATATATTTAATGTCCACCTCCACTAAAAAAGAAAAAAGGTATTTTGCTCAGTGTGACTTCAGTTGGATGTTTGAGCTTCACAGCGCAGAATGATGTATGTGCAGGGTTTAAAACTAAAAGGCTGTTTTTCAAAATCACTATAAACCATAAGAGAACGTCCTCTGCACTCATTGGTCAGATGCATCTGGGAAGGGAGCAAGAAAGTCAATACAGGAAGAAAGTCCTGTGTTCTGGACTAGCACATATTTCTGTGAGAGAAACACTGGTAATGCAATTTAACATGAAGCAATGGCAGAGCTGGAATATGCTGTAATAATTATCTGGGCAACATATCTATACCAGCAGAGCGCCAAATGCACTTCAAGGAAATGTCTTGAAAATATAATACTCTTTTACACTTTGCAAAGAAGATGTGCTGCCTTCAGATAACTGAGCAGAACAAGGGAGCTAATATTAGCTAGTTGCTGCTGCTACTGCTACGCAGGCTGCTACAGTTTGTGTGCTCTGTCGCATCCAAGAATGCAAAGCACACTTGGCTACAGGAGGTAGTTGGGTTGGATCAAGGTCGGATCATGTTCCCATCACACACAAACGACTCCAGAGATCGTTTGGGACCTGACCAAGACGACCTCCTCTCAAGGGTCTCACTGTGATCATATTAGTCCATGTGATTATTGTGTTTACACCTGCCTAAACAAATCTCACCAAGGGGTACAACAAACCAGAGTCCGATTTTAACTGGACTAAAAAGTGCAAGTTAATCTCAGTTTAAGTGGAGGTGTAAGTACGAGCAGGATTTTGTGACATCACAACTAGTTTAGAAGCCATATATGCAACATATTTCGTTTCATATTACTCTGATTGTTTTAATGCACATTTTAGTTGCTCAGTGTCTGTCTTCTCTAAAGGACCTGCTAAAACAGTGGGTGATTCATCACTTCTTGTGTGCTGTGTAATTCCCATAACTGACCCCAGGGGGCAGTGTTGACTAATCTTACCTCCATGCTCTTGGTCCAGATGAGCTGATGGGAACTTGAGTCCCACAGGCAGACCTGCCTGTCATAACCGCAGGTGAGGAACTGAGGCTTCCAGGGGTGGACAGCCAGACCCCACAGCTCATCAGTGTGACCCTGGAGAAGAGAGGAAAGGAGATTCTTCATCTGCTACAACATCACAGCCTTTCAAATGTGACCTTTACTTTGTTAAGTGCTTGGACGACACCTTAAACGAGCCGCAACAATCAAAAATATTCATAACTAGGTTTAAATTGGTGTGTAATCACCTGAAAGAATTGTTGTGTTTTCTTTAGCTTGGAATGAGCCCTTCAAATCTACATGCAGAGCGGGCCGTCTTCCACTGAGCCAACTGTGTTGCCCCACCATGTTTCTACAGTGGCCCAGAACAAACAAACCAAACACTGGCTCTAGAGAGTTGCTTCTGTGTCTTTACATCACCTGAACACCACTGTAGGTTCTCAGACATGCAGGGATGAAGCGGTGTGTGCTAGATGCCACTTAATCCTTAACACTGTCCTTTAATGATTAATTGGTTGATCAATAGACAGAAAATTAAACTGCATCTACTCATTTCATGCAAAATACCACAGGTTGTCGGGTTCCAGCTAATACAACTGTGGTTTTGCTGCTCTTCTCAATCAAGAAAGTATCTGGCAGATTAATCGCTAATAAAAATAGTTGTTAGTCGCAGTCCTGCATCTTGGTACACGATGTAGATAAAGTGTACTGAGGCTGTTGCATCTACCTGTGTAATTGGAACGAATTCTCCATCCAAACTGCCCTGCAAGACAAAGTGCTTGGTGGTCCCGATGAGCACAGTCTCCCCTCTGCCCTCTGCTATGGTCCGGATGGGACCAAACAACTCAGGCACCTGTGGAGAAAACACAACAATCACATAAACCATCTATTCACCTGGAATCCTGCATTGGCCAGAATAAACATCAAACAATATTTCACTGCATAATGTTGTCTCTACAGAGCAACAAAGACACGAGAGAAACATTCTCATCACTATAAATATCTATGAATCTCATTGAAAGCACGATCCCATCTCGTCCTCTGTAATATTTATGATATGGTGCAGTAGTCAGAATGCACAGTCCGCCGCCTCGGGCAGGAGTGCAATTTCTGGCTAATATAAGCAACCTACTTTCAAAGAAGGAGCTGCAGCTTAGCATTTTATTAAAACATTAACAGAGTGTGGTAATAGCAGGTCGGATCATTAGGATGCTGCAGAGAAGCTGAGCATAAACTCATGCATTACTGTAATTAAATCATTCCTAAAAGTACCACATGCATTTTTTATAAACTTCAATTTTTTATGTTTCAAAGCAGCATTGGAATATTTAATGCTCGTGATTCCTGCTGAACTTGTCCCTCACCTCCACTGTCTGTATCTGCTGGTAGCCGCTGTCCCACGAGATGAGCCTGCGGTCTTTCCCTCCAGACACCAGCGTGCCGTTCCTCAGCATGCACAGAGCAAAGATGCTGCCCTCGTGAGCTCCTTGGATGACGTGGCTGATACGATTAGTGCCTGCGTGACAGAGATGGGATGAGATGGATGAGCAGGTTCAGTTGGAGACAGTGGGACAGAAAGGTCAAATGCTTGAGGAGGGCAGATTAAGAGACGGACAGACAGGCTGATCAATAGACACATCAGACACACAAAGAGATCACATTGGACCACTTTGGTATAAATAAAGGTTGATAAATGAATGAACGAACGTGCCTTTTCCCCACACCAAAATGTTCCCACTTGAGTCTCCTGTGATGGCGTCTCCATTTTCTGCAAAGGTCACACACAACACAAACTTGGGCTTCTCTTGTTTCTGCAAGAAACACAAGAACACACATTTTGTTTTACGGCCATTGATTATTTTTACGTCGCTATAAATGGGATCATAGATCATAACACTGACAGTCATGATTGCATTTGTGCCTCTACATCAGAGTTTATTGCTGTACAGTATTGACATAACATGTGGGGAACAGTCTGGCGTCCCACCTCAAACAGTCCTTGCTTCTTGACCAGCACGCCTTTCTCCAGGTTCCAGAAATAGAGATGGGATTTGCCACAGGTCACCACGATGTTGCTGTCTGTCGGGTGGAAGTCTGCAGCGAACACCGACTCGTTGGAGCACTGAATAGAAACACATAAATCAAGAAACAGTGAAACTACACATGCACACTTTTAACAGAAACATAATTAGAGCAGTGTGTCAGGTTACGTCTTAACACACACACACTATCCTAGCCTCCAAATAATGTGTCTAATTTTGAGAAAATATGTTCCTATGACTCTTGAGAGTATCAACAACTTAAATCCTCATAGCAAGGGAGCAGTTCCCTACTTTTATATTATACAAAGGCATACTGAAGTCAACACAAATGCACTAAACAGACTTTGGAGAGAGAGTTGGGTGAAGATATAGACAATGAGATTTGGGAGGAGAGTCTTGAAAGTGTGCATAAATTTCCCCATAGATTTCCCCTCTCTGTTGTAGGTGTAAGGAGGCAGACAGACGGGACATTAACACATTCACTTGAGACATGTCAGAAATCGTTTATTTATTGGAAGAGTATATTTGAATGTTTCTCTAAAGCCTTTGAGAAGAACTGAGAACCTAACCCACTAGTTGCTGTCCTAGGTGCCACGAGTGTGTTACTGGCAGACAAGTATGAAAATCAGGCCGTGTCATTTGGTATGGTGGTGGCAAAGACACTTATTCTACTTATGTGGAAGTCAGACTGTGCACCAACATATGATAAGTGGAAAAGAGAGCTGATGAATATATTTAGAAAGGTTAAGGATCGGTGAATTTGGAGCCCTGTACTCGAGTATCTCAGGAGTAGTGAAACAGTCTAACTGAGGAGCAGTAAACCCTCTATCGCTGTGTATATGTATTTTATTTTACAAGCAATGCTGAAGTCCTAGGACTTGTTTTTAGTTTTTCTACCTATAAAGATATTTTGTTGTTACAATGATGTACTGAGCAAGTTTTAGTTTGAAAATCCTAAAATAAAGGTAAAAAAAAAAACCCCATACAAACACGCACAAACATACCTTGACCTCAGCCAGTCTGTCCTCTCTCTGCCAGTCCCAGACAGAGAGGACGTGGTCGTTGGAGTCGTCAACAACACACAGTGTGTTTCCTCCATTCTAACAGACAGAAAAAGACACAAAGTCATGTTTATCTACTGACAAAATGGAAACTAAGTTCGGTCAAAAACTGCATTAAGGTGATACTTAACCCCTGAAATCATTGTATGTTAATCAGTTACTCTGCCCATGTTAAATTTGGGAAGAAAACTTTTTCTTGCGTGCTTCCACTCTGAACGAAGAATCCAAAAACACAGAAAATTCTTGATGAATTGGAGTAAAAGGGGGGCATGTTTAAAACCAGCAAAACTACAGCCAAACATCAGCTTATAAACTTTTACACAACTCACACTGCAGTATAATCCACGTCCACTGATTCAGTCATATGCTAAGTACAAATTGAACTAAAAGTGAAACTTACCCAAACTCTCTTCAAAGCCAGACTCCACTAACAAAAACAGTAATTTTACCTAACTGAGCATGAGAGCTGCTGGTCTACTACTGCCTCTATCAGTTAGTTTGTGTTTTTGTGTGACTTTGGTGAATCCAAACTAACTTTTTAAAACTCCAAAGTCACACAATAATACAAACAAACTGATAGAGGCAGCAGTAGACCCATGATCAGTGAGGTAAAATTAAAGTATGGAGCATACAGCTGGATAACTGATACTTGGATTATACTGCACGAGTTGTGTGAGAGTTTGCAAAAGGCTGTTTTGACATAGTTTTGATTTTATTAATTGAAGTCGCTTATGACTTCAATTCATCAAGCATCGTCTCAGTTTTTTGATTTTTCGTTCAATGTGGAGGAAGCCAGAAAAACAAAATTTTCCTCACAAACTCAGTGTAACACGGGCTGAGCAACTGATATACAAATGATCATTTGAGGCGTGAATTATTCCTTTAACCTCATTGTTGAAAGTATCGGTGGTGTTTCCTTACCGACTTGGAGAAAGCCAGGCAGACCAGGGCTCGGTCAAAGAATCCTGCACCCAGAACATGAAGTGTGTTGAGGCTGACAGAGTCCCACACACGGACATGAGGAGCCAGCTGCTGCCAAGAACAAAACACACACATAAACACGGACACAACACCAGGAGAGGTACATCATCAGTATGATGTGATGTAAGGCTTACTGAAGCATTCACTGAATTCAATGAATATATAAGTGAACACAGAGGGAATGTTTTTTTAACATCTGAGTCTGTTTAGGCAAGACAGGTTTATTTATATAGCACCATTCAGAAGCAATGCAATTCAAAGTGCTCTACAGAGGCACTGAAATACACGCTGGAAAAGGTTCCTTAAATCAGAGGTTCAAGTCTGGGTGTGATCCTAGATTCATATCTGAGCTTCAAGTCCCACATTAATAAGGTGATGCAAACACAATTTTTCCACCTCAGAAAAATACCTTAAATATCATATATAAATCAAAAAGATGCTGATTCATGCCTTTATTTCAAGTCGACTTGATTGCTGTAATGCACTTTTTACTGGCACCCCAAAAAACCCACAGAGAGACTTCAACTCATTCAAAACTCTGCAGCTCAGCAATTAACCACAACTATGTGCAGAGAGCACATCACCCCAGGTTCAGCTGCTCTGCACTTACTTCCTCTAACACTCAGAATTGATTTCAAGGTCCTTGTTTTATGCAAAGTCCTCAATGGCCAAGGACCAAAGTACACCTGAAATAACTCCCTTGTTAACTACTTGCCTTCAAGAACACTGTGATCAGCAACAGCCAAATGAAATCGGGGATACAGCTTTTGTCAATAACACTCCAAAGCTATGGATCACACTACCTGGAGATATCAGGGGAACTAGTTTGCTAAATGTTTTTTAAAGAAAGCTAAAAACATATTTATTCACTCTAGCCTTTAACTAGCAAAGACTTGGCTAATACAGGCCTGAAACTCTTTCTTTGAAGACGTCACACTGCGGCAATTCCTTTAAAATTTCTTACTTGATTTTACAATTTACAATTTTGTGATTTTAAGACATATGGTTTTGCTGATACTGAGCTATGATGCCTTCTCTGTACTCAATATTCATCTTATTTATTGTTTTTAACTTGTATTTAAAGTCCTTACAGGATAAGACATTAAGAAAACACTGAAACTGCATTTGAAAGAGAATAACTAGGGATGAGCGAGTATACCATTATGTGGATCTGTGTCTGTATCTGTTCGACCAACTAAGTGATCTGTATCTTTACTCGAAGTAGGCGGAGTTATTGGCAGATGTGGGTGGGGGTCAAATCAAAAGAGGGTTGGGCCTAATCAGAAGTTGTTATTTTAAGACTGAAATTGTTATGGATTGATCTGAAGTTGCAATATTTATTACCTATGAGAAAAGTATTTACAGAACAGCCTCAGAATTGAGCCTCAGGGCATTTTTATTGCAAGTGTAACAGAGTAAACATAGCTACCCAAATGAGGATTCTCCTTTATCACGAGTACAGATAATGACACATTTTACTCATATGATACTCGTACTCATAAAAAGTACATTATCTGTACTGAATACTCAACCCTAACATTAACAACAAGAAGTGAGAGCAAGTGAATACAAAGTTACAGATTAAACATAAGTTAGGCATCTAGTTTAGTGGACAGCTGCTGTGGACAATAATGTTTGAAGCCCTGATATAAATGAGTATTCAGGAACCTTGCTCCACAGGTGAGGAGTGGAGAAACTTAGAACTTCATCTTGCTTGGTTTAGATCGCTGAGGAAATTTGTCACAGATGATCCGAGAGGTCTGGATGTTTCGTAACGTACAATCAGAGATGCATTTAGGCCTAAGATCATTCAGTGCTTTATAGAGAAGTAATAGGATTTTGAAATCTATCCTCTGACGCATGGGAATCCAGTGCTGTGACTCAAGGACCAGTGTAATGTGCTCCACTCCGAATTTTCTGAACCATCGGGGTAAACATAATTTCATACAGCAGAACTCTTCACTCCACTCACAGATCAGATGCTGAAAGCTAAAGTGATGTAATATCAATAAAAGACCTCGCTTACTTTTCCATCCCAAGAGGTGCCAGCCACCTGCCCAGTTGCTATGGTGATTTTATCGGGGTGGACAGCCAAGCTGGTGAAGAGAAAGACGTGAAAAAACAGACATGAAAACAGTTAAAAACCTTTCAACATCAAAAGAGCCGTTTGAATAAAGATAAGCAACGTGCTCCGAGAACATGAAAGGAGGTTTTTAAAGCTGTGAATACGATATTCACTGTAGCTACCACACGCTGTCTGTACTAATGTGAGGGGGGAATGAAACAGTTCAAGATAAATTCATACGCTTTTTGGGTATGGCGGTGTAGGAACACTCGTAGCATGTGTGAAGCTTTAACGCTTTCTCTTCAAAGGATTAAGAATCTGTTTGCAATCCATGCTTTGATCTGTAATCCAATGTGTTCATTAATAAACTGAACTTTTATTAACCTCAGAGCGTGATAACATAATTATGGCTGTGTCTTTTAAGCGTAACTCATCACATTACACACTTTCTCCCTTTGATGCTCGTGCACGAAATGCCTGCACGCTAACACACAGCACTTGAGTGCACTTGTTACCTTCCCTCATTACAGTTATTTTGCACTTAGTGGGTTTAAAGAAATGAAAGCACTCTGTGAATAAACTCTGCAGACTTTAGGGGTGTAGAAAAGGTGCAAATATCAAATCTAACAGGAAAGAGAGATGAAAGGTGGATGACAGATGTGATGTGAAGCTGCAGTACATGACTGAAGCAGTGGGAGCAGCCCCTCTGGTTAGAGAGAGAGAGAGAGAGAGAGAGAGTGAGAGAGAGAGAGAGAGAGAGAGAGTGAGTGAGTGAGTGAGTGAGTGAGTGAGTGAGTGAGTGAGTGAGTGAGTGTGTGTGTGGGTGTGTGTTTTATAATCCCAAAGTCTCTCTCACCATTTGATGTCATCTGTGTGCCCAGTGTAGTGTCTCTGCAGCTGCTCATCCACGTTGAACAGAACGACCACTGAGGCGATGAAGTACACAGTTTCTCCAGTGGGCAGCAAGTAAAGGTTGGAGCGACAGTCTCGACCGCGGTAACCATAACTGGACATCAAAAAGGTCAAGAAATGAAACTGGAATGATATCTAAAGTAGAGCTGAAACAAATAATCTAGTTTTAGGCAACAATGCCAAACATTCCCAGGTACAGCTTCTCACTTTACAGATTTTCGTTTTCTCTGATAATACACAAAATTTCTTTTGGTTTTCGACTGTTTTCTGATGTTTTATAGACCAAGATATGAAAGTAATTGGCAGACAATAGTGAAAACTAGAAACCATCTTGCAATGGGATCACTCCAGCCACGATACAGCAACCTGCAACTTAAAGCAAATGTTGACCTGGGGTGTTGTTTATAAATCCATACTAAAAATCTATGTATGGACAAAAAACAAAAATGGCATGGCCAAAAAATGTTTGACTGTTTCTATGTTCAGGCTTCCACCTCACCATCTGCGTCGCCAATTTTCAGTCTCCAAAATGTTCGTAAGCTAGTCAAAGTTTCTACCATCATGTCTGTTTTTATAGATCACAATTCTTGTTAGGGAAGTGGCCTATGCCTCTTTCAGGCCTCGTTGTGTCTACCACTTTGTGCGTTAAGTGGTAGTGATGGGGTGGGGAGGCCCCTTCCCTACCTCTGGCACCCTTGCTCAGACCACACCCATCTTGCAACTTCATTATGATCGCAACTACACATTTGCAAACTTTTGTGACTCCACCTTGCATGGTTGTGACATTATCGCGTTGACAAAACCTGTCCACTGCTGTGCTGGCAGCTAGCAGCTATTGGTGTTAACCTGGGGGGAACCCTGCTGATGGGCACTACGCTACTACAATGATGCTGTGGGTCAGGACGGTGTTATCAGTGCTAACTGCCATCTGAATGCAGTGCAGAGTGGCAGCAATTAACTAACCAGTGGTATTCACTCACAGGGACTCACATGCTACTACAACAACAACAGTATAGAATAATAAAGATCCTGGAATGATTCCAGAGAGGGCGTGTGACTTCACTCTCTGCTCAGGACGCCATTAGGCCTACTCCACTGTATCCTTACATAGCAAACACTGGTTTGCTGCTATATTACTGTTCTGAAAGTCACATGAAGGTAAGAAACCACAAAAATACAATAAAATGTATCTTAACGACTCTTTCCAATATTAAAACACACGTATCTATTCTATCTGTGATCTAGTTCATACTGGATTTGACATATACAAACTATGCAGCCCACATATCTATTTCTGTGTGTGCGTGTGTTCTTCTCTCTTCTCAGATTTAATCTTTTCTTTGTCTCCCTTACAGCTTTTTTCCCGTCGGGTTTCTGCTAGACTGAACAATACACTACATTCAGTCTTTCATCAACAAATGAAAGAGAGAGAAACCACAAAATGAAACAAAATAAAAATAAAAGAGCACAAGAGGAGCTGCTGACTGGTTGCGCCTCAGCCTGCCAGCTGTGTGCAGGTTATTACTGACTGCAGGCTGCAGAGCGATGAGCCCGTCTCCGACTGCAGCAGCACCACACAGTGAAAATAAGCATCTGAGCAGATCTACTCTGACAAGCCGGGGGAGAGGAGATGACACATTTGTCAGCTTCCTCTCCCAGCTGCATCACAGGCCAATCTGGTTTTACTCTCCTCAGAAGATTACTTTTCAAAACTTTCCAAATCACGAGCAGGGCTGGATTTGAAACTTGTTATTTCCTCGGAAGATTCCCCCTGCAAGAAAAACTAAAAGGAAAAAAAGGATACACCCAGTCCAATTTGAGTTTGTTGCTGGGCAGCTCGGCTTTGGCCTCCAGGCAGTAGCTGTCCACCTGGTCTTTGGGCATGTACATGGTGACGGGACGGCCCTTCAAGTACATTTTCACATAACCTTCCTCTGGAAGAAGCAACAGAAAATATCAATGAGACAGTGCACATGTAGAAAAACAGATTTGATTGCTGGTATGCTGTTGTGTTTAAATATATGACAAGTATGCAAAAGCACAGACATGACACTGAAGCATTATACAGTGGGTTATTATGATGTGAGTGACAAGGATGACAATGTTGATGATTGTGTGACAAGATTAGAGGATAATGAAGAGATGTGATGTTGATTTTTTTTTGCTTTGAAAAGGACTCAAAGAACAAATGACAGAATTTGCAAACACAAACGAAATAGCTTTTTAACTGACTTTATTAGTCATTTCAAATACATTCTGATGACAACAGAGAGCGCAAAATGAACTGCAAACACTTTCAAAACTCATAAATATTTGGCTCACAGCAGAGGTTAACCAACATAAAATGCAGACACAAGCAGAGCAATGGAAATGTTATGAAAAAAAACAACAACACAGATCCAAGCTTAGAAAAGGGGATAATGAGAAATCCTCATCAATTTAAAACATGCTAACACTGGAAAACAAATCATGCAGAAAAACATTAAGGGAACCAAAACAAACAAAACCATTAATGTCCATTTTTTTCCAAGCCCATTCAAAGAAAAGACTAAAATATGAGGTAATAAAATGGACTTATGGGCGAGATTTTATTTAGTGATGCTAAAAAAAACCTGCTATCTCCGTGCAACTTCTTTGGTATGAGACACGTGAAATGTAAAGTGACAAGACAACACCATGTGGTGTTTATAATCTGATATAAAACCATAACTCTGGCTCTGTACTGACCGGCTATGACACATAAACATATGATATCTAAGTGAGTGCTGTTATTCTGTCTTCCTCAACTTGTTAAGTTAGTAACAAATCTGGAAGTACTGGCTGGGAGATTTGATGGGGCTGCGATAACTGGGCGTATCAAGGGCAGAGTACGATGACAAGCTCCCTGACTTTCTCAACTGGAGGTTAAAACTCGGGGTCTTTCTGACTGGGGGCGCCTTAGCGGCAACGCCCTTTCTGGCCATGACCGCCTTGCTGCTTTCTGACGTTTGATGGGGGCTGGTGGCTGAACGGGTTGTTATAGACGAAGCCGCGGAGCTGCCGCTGGTCCCCGTCCTTTTGGCAGAGCGGCTGAGGTAAATCTGTACTGTGACTATAATGAAGACGGGGACAAAGCAGAGGAGCCAAGGAGTGGTGGAGGTTGTCAGGGCCAGTTGGGTGGGGATGGGGGTCAAATGGGGACGAGCAGGGCGAAGGAGCAAGAAACGTAAAGGGTGGAGGAGGTGGGTAAAATAAGTTAGACAGATGTAATGGCTGTTTTTTTAATATAACACTTAGTAAAAGCATCATAAAATTGGCAAAACACAAACTATCAAAAGGGAAGTAGGAAAACTGCCTCCTATTATTAACCAATGACATGTTGATTGCTATCATCAAACACTGGGATCTTATCTTGAAGCAGTAGTTAAGAAGTTTGGAGTTTTTCTAACTGTCTCAGCAGTGAAATCCTGCCTCACTGATATAAATCAGTGATTCGAGACCTGAACGTCTGGACTAAGGTAACCCGAGGGTTACAAGATAATAAATAAGGCAGGAGAGAAGAAAAATAATGTTTTGATGAACAAATTTACTGTTGATTCAAGCTAACTAGTGTAATTAAAAGTCTCTTAGTCAGCTGAACATGCAAAAACATGAAATTTGCCAAGGCAGCGTACAATCCAACATATACGGAGATTAAAATTTCCAATAATAACGACTTACTAATAAATAGATAATTTTTTTAGGTTTTAGGTTTCTTTCAAGAAAATTCCCATTTTCTCTATAATCAATGCCAAATTACACTTAGGAAACATCTTAGAAAATCAATTATATTTTGTTTTGTCTTGTGAAATACTGCTGAGAGGTTTAGAGGACAAAACCAGTCCTTAAATAAACTCTTCCCATTCCCAACATATACTGTTGATGTGCTGTGGCGAGAGGACACAAGCAGACACTGCCTCATTTTTAGGTGTCAGAACCTCTGGTCCAGATACTTTCAAGGGTAAAATGTCAAGATTATCTTAAAGGATTAAAGGAATAATTCACAACCCAAATGATCATTTGTGTATTCGTTATTCACCTCATATTATGTTGAATTCATGAGGAATACCTGCTTTTCTTGAATGCCTCTGGTGAACAGAGAAACCAAAAACTGAGAAAATTCTCGGATAATTAAAGAAACGGGGGTCTCTTTTTAAAAACAGCAAAACAATATCAAAAATTTCCGTTTACAAACTCTTACACAACTTGTGCAATATATTCCAAGTCTCACTGATCCAGTTGTATGCTCAGTACTTCTCAAACAGACAGCCCTTTTCGATGGGGAACTCAAATAAAATTTAAACTAATCTATGCTCTCTTTAAAGCCAGACTCTGTTGACAAAAACAAATTTTACCTCGCTGAACACAGCCTGGGCCTCGCTGCCAGTCTACCACTGCCTTGATCAGTTAGTTTGTGTATTGCGTGACTTTGGTGAATTCGAACAAACCCTTTAAAACACCCAAGTAACCCAATAACAAGAACTTACTGATCAGGGCAGCAGTAGACCAGCAGCTAATGTGTTCAGCGAGGTAAAATTACTGTTTTTGTTAATGGAGTCTGGCTCTGAAGAGAGCATAGATAAGTTTCACTTTCCGTTTAGTTCCCAGCAGAAAGGGTTGTTGGCTGCACGAGTTGTAACCAATAACATATACACAGATGTTCCAATATAGTTTTACTTGAGTTTAATCCAGTCCCGTATGACTTTAATACATCAAAAATGTTCTATTTTTGGATTCTTGGTTCACCATGGAGACATGAGAGAACAACAAAGTTTTCTTTCTCTTTCTTTTCAAACTTTTTCAACATAACACAGGGTGAGTAAGTGATTTATAAATGGTCATTTATAGGGTTGAAGTACCCGTGTAATCATCCTGTAACAATGACGGCTAAACAGCAATATATATGAGGAAATGAGCTTTAACTCCAGTCTCATTTAAACTCCTGGCAGCTTTGTAAATACTCTGCTGAGGGAGACTACACACAAAAAGATGACACTTCAGGCCATGTGAGAAAACTACAAGCAGCAAAATCAAACAGACTTCAATAGGAACTACCCAAAAAAGGAACTGAATGTGTTTGTAATGCAAATATTCATTTTTAGAGCAGGAAGATAATAAGAGTAGCAGCAATCTACTTTGCTCTGAGCTGCAGCGAGGAATCTCAGAACAGAGGATTTAAGTGTTCGCAGGAAAACTCAAAGCGACTGCGATGAAGCGTGTGTCAGAAATCTTTGTGTTGTTACTATGGTGACAGAGACTAAATGCCTACCAGCAAAAAGTGAGGCTGTGAGCAAACACACACACGTTTGGTGAAGCAGCAGCTTCGTCCGCAGTTAAACAAGTGTGGAGACACACAAGTGCAAACACTGCAAACACACTCTGACGCAGCTCTCAGTGGAGGTTAGGTAGGATGTATGCATGTGTGTGTGTGTTAGTTAAGTCTAAGAACAATAAAGGGATTGTAACTTTTACACACACACACTTTGTCAACCCACTCCTGCCCCTGTCTGGACAGCTCTCTGATCACTGCACCGAAGGGAATCTCTAAAGTTTCTGATATCACCAGAAAGTTCTGGAAGAAAAATCCAAACAGGATATGAAAATTAAAGTCCTGATTTCTTTCTTTGCCTCTGCACTGCAGCTCAGAGCATGTGCAGAGATCAAAATGCAGTGTCCAGAGAGCTGTGTAGGCTGAGGGCTTTAGGCGAGGGGAGGGGGGAGGGGGGGAAGCCTACCTTTGCAGTGGGTCACACGTCGCATCCCTTGTAAAGGTCACAGAGAAAGACACAAGCACCAGGTGAAGGGTGGCATGGCTTCCTCACTTCCTGGTCTGTCCTAATATGAGTGTACTTCCTGTTTCCTGGTGTTAAGGAACAGCAGCTTCTGTCCTTAATGTTCTTAATAAATCAGTGCTCCTTCCTTAATGGTTTAAATTAATCACTGCTCATTTCTGTGTGACAGTGTCCCACCCTCTGCTCCTCGGATGTGACTTGCCTACTTCCCTTTTTAGAAAGTAAACTGTTGTTTCTGACTAGTACAAAAGTACAAAAACAAACAAACACATGTGCTGGCACTTGCAGCACAGTTTGTTGTATCAAACGAGCCATGTTGCATGTAATCACATCATGTATTGCAGGTAAGCATTATATTGGCAGAATTTACAGCTGCACTTATCATTTGTATTGGTTAACTGTCGCCTAGTGGCAGTTTATGTCCATGGTGGTACCCTGATGGTGCCGTTTTGCAGGAGATTATTTGTCTGTAATTAATTCAAATGTTCAATAAGCGGTGCACAGCAGTAATAATTAACCCTGTGGCTCATTTTCTACTAACAGTCAGCATCCTCCACCAGGTAGAAGCAACCTTGTAAAGACTGTAAACAGGCTACATGTGCATGATGATTAACATTTCTACCTCACGATCTAATGGTTACAGTTTGAAAATCCAAAGAACACGTCATTATTTGCAATAGTTGGACCTCAAACTAAAAAAAATACTAAAAGTACAGTGTTGTTAGACAGAGTGGTTCAGCAGTACACTCACACCATTTTAACTTCTCAAAATGTATCTGCCTCTCTAGTTAGGCTTTGTTAGGGTTCAGCCTAAACTGAAGAGAGATGGAGCCAGGTGTGTAAACCAAATGAAAAACAGCGGCTCCATTTACACAAAAATCAATAGCATGCTGGAGATGGACCTTCTGATCAATACTCCTTTCATTTCATATTCACTCCCATTGTCTTGTTACCTCGTGTTTCCTGCTTTGTGTTAAAGAACAAACTGTGTGTGAGATGATCCACTTGTCTTGTACATACTGTAGCTCTGGATACATGTAACTCAAATCTTAATGTGTGGCTCCTCCTTTGACTCTTTAACTCTTAATTATGTTTTGTAAATATCTCCTAGCTCATGAATATCACGTAAACTGTTGAGAAGATGTGCCAGAAAAATACGAAAAATCATGAGCTAACACTGTCTTTGCGAGGTCGCAGGGAGCTTTGCTCAGATAAAGACAGCTACCACAAAATAAAGGGACATTCCAGTATTCTGTAACCTGGGTCTTTTTTATTATTGTAGCCATAATAACTTTGGGTGTTGCTAACTTTGCACTCGCCACCTATGTTGTAAAGATTTGAGAAATGCTCACTATTAAGACAAAAACCCAACGTGTATCAAACTTCCTTAAGCTTTGCAAATATATTTGAGTTTTATAAATGTTAGGCTAGTTTGGTTAGCTGTAAATTTGAAAAGCTCTGGGCGGCTCATTTTGCAGTGAGGACTCCACGTTATTCGGGATTCCTCTGGGATTTCCGCAGGGTGGGAGTCAATTTCAGTGTTCATCATTCAACTGGGACGGGACAGGAAGAAAGTCGGCGGGAGTGGGCGGGGTTTTATATATACATATGCATTTCTAATGTGAATAAACATTATTTCAGACTGGTCTCACTCCCAGAACATCAAAATACACCAGTGTCACTATAACAATGTAGGGGGCAATGTTTAGCATCTGTGTGAGACGCAGCAGGCTTTCCACCAACTCCAATGTAAACCCATCCCATTATTAGAAGTTAGTAGTTTCAAGAGTGCGAATGTCTGCTCAGGTGGATGGGTCCAACAAACTCAGACTTTGACCCAGGGGAGCGCTGTTCGAGACCATCAAACAACAACATTGGCTGCACCATTTGTGCCACTCAGAGCCAGATGTTTTTTAACTACATAATGCTGCCTTTCCATCCCCATTCAAGCCACTGAAAACCACGTTTTGTTGCGACACACTGCTGCCTTTCTAGCTGTGTTTGTGGCACTCAAAGCCAAGAGTTTTTTAAGCAACATACACAATCTTTTCCTGACCGTGACCAAGTAGTTTTGTTGACTAACCCTAACCACTGACCCCTTCTTACTTGCTTCAAGACATAACACAAAAAAGCTGCTCCCTGGTGTCATTTTAGTAACACCGAGGGCTTGTGCCAAATATGACGAATAAGGATGAGATCATGTTGGCTACTTTCTTTTCATTTGTTTTAAGGCAATGGGATGGAACAGGATGAGTCACTCCCCTGGGATTAGGACAAGACAGGATTATTTTTGTGGAAGATAGATGGGAAAAGAGTGAAAATCCACTCCTGTGTCACCCTCTACTCCACGTCTCCTCAGTCACTAGGTTGTGAGTGCAAAGTTTTGATGACCCATCCTCAAAATGGCCACAATTTTGAGAGTAAGTATGAGACCAAACAGAAAGATATCAGAATTTAATGAGATTCAAATGGAAAAAAACGTACACTGTACACAACTAAAATTTAACTTAAACTGCGCAGAAGGAGCTTATTAAAAACAAAACATGAACAGAAGTTTGGATGTGACGATGTATTAATGGATGAAGTAGATTGGAGATTTGTGAAGGAATGGATTATGGGAAGGATGAATGTTTAAGACACAACATCATGTAGAGTGTAGCCTCAGTGGCCCTCTGTGTGCAGGAAACAGCTCAAGGCACTGTCTAAAATTATAGATGACATCAATGTCTGTCTCGTTTTGGGAATATATAAACTTCATTCTGACGGGACTGCACTGACCTTTAACTGACACAGGGAGCCACTGAGCATGTGGTGTGTAATGTCTCTCAGTGGGTTGTATCATAGCATGAAACTATCTCTCTATCTTCTTACCTGCATTGAACACTGGATCCCTCTGTTTGCTGCAAAGTAGATGAGTAAACAGACAGCTGTCATTCCCGCCTCCAGATAAACCATTGTATGTTTCTGATTTAAAAGAGCTTCATAAGGAGATCAGCTTCTTTTCTGGTGTGTCAAACTACAAAGGTGAATGTGTGAGCCACTAAATGGAGAAAGCTGATACAGCCGTGACCTCAGTGATACCTGTCACTTCTTTTGCTGCTGGAATTGCTGCCGGTGGATCCGGCGCGAGTTCGGTTGCCCTTGGAGTCGCCTGAATCTTTCCGCGTGAGAGTTCCCACATGTTCGTTTGAGTTGGCTCTCCTCACAGTGCTGTGGTGAGAAGAAGGGAGGTGGCCAGAGGCAGAAAGAGACAGGAAAGAAATAGGTCATAAAAGTACCTGACGCTGCTTTCCTAAAACTGCCCTCTGGTAAAGTTTTCATCTAAGGAAGAGCTTTATTTCATGATTCAGCTCATTTTAAAAAAAAAAAGTCTTAAACTTATGACTCTTTGCAGCAGTTTGCACCAAAGCAAAAGAGAAACAAAGAATTGTGGATATTTGTTGTTTCCCTACACTTGTCCACTCTGGTGATCATAACTACAATGACTGTACAGACCTGTGCTAATCTGCATACTGAAGCTGCAGACAGCCTGCCTGTTTGTAACAATGAAAAGGCTCCATCAGCAATCCAATGGCCAGTAGGCCCAGTCACCTAATCCACCCTATGGGAGAAAAGTCTATTCAAACCCTAAAACTGGCCAGTGGCCGTTATCCCTTCTGGAGAGCCTGTGTGTGTTTGTTCAGTAAAGAACAGAACAGAAAAAAAGAGAGAGCCAGAGAGAGAAACTGTTGTTTGCTGTGTGATCCCATGAGGAATCATAGTAATTGGGCCACGGGGCATTGGGGTAGGCTGTTGTGTGTGTGCCAACACTGATGGGATTGTGACCAATCTGCAGTTTAGACTAATCCCACACACAGACGGAAAACAACACAAAAAAAGAACGATGATTTAAAACAACAAACAGTCAATATTGGCAATGAGAGAAATGTTACAGTGTTGGAATTATCATGCAACTTAATGACGATTTAGGAACTAAAAAAAATAAACTGTTAGTATGCATCAGCACTACGACACAGCCATGATGTTATATCGTGACCGGTGACAGACTGTCACCTGGTGATCCTCTCACCTGAGCGGCAGGTAGAGGATTCTGGAAGGGCGAGACAGAGAGGACAGACTGGACAGATTGGCAGGACATCACATTGTAGGTGGACAGAACATTAACAGGATATAACATCATGGTTGGGAAGGACATCAGAGAGACAGTGCAAGGTGGACATGCAAGACAGGAGAGATGGGAAAGAGTCAACACAATACGTAAAGACAAACAGAGGAGACGACTACTGACGTCACTCAAGCTAATATCTATTTTACAGTGTTAAAGGTCCCATATTATGAATAACCCTGTATTTACCGTCTGTCTGACACGCTCCATTTAGCACCTGTATCTCTAAGCCCCACACCTGAAAATCCCAGTATGCTTTGATTGGTCAGAGGTTCCTGGCCTTTCATATTGTCTCTGCACTGTCACTGCAGCCGAAGACGTGACATTGTGACATCACAACTTCACAGGCGCAATTTAAAATATAGACTTTGTGCATTTCTCTGTAGATTGAGCGTTTTAACACTTTCGCTGCAGTTATGTAACACCTATTCCTGTTTTAAAATAAAAAAAGACAATATGGGACCTTTAAATCTACACTAATTAAAAATGTAGGAGGTTTCTAAGAAGGGGACTGTGGATTTTTACAGTTTAATGTCAAGAAGGTGTCCCTAACATTTTGAACATTCTGTTTCAGTCAGAATTAACCCCCCCAATTGAGCACAGCAGCAGGAAAAGTACTTCATTAGCTTCATTTCAATCCATCAGACACTGAGATCATGTGCCGGGTGTGCAAACAGCCTGGAGGGCATTAAAAACTTGTACAGAATGCGTATTTAATTGGCTCATTCCAGTATTTTTTACAGTCAACATCCAAATTTGTCAACTTAAAAAGGTCAATATATAAATAAGATAATGAAGAATTTGGTATCCCTCTACTAGAGTTTGTTCTAGGCGTCACCCAGCCTGACATTTCAAGCACAGGCCCAAAGTTCAAAAAATCATAAAGTAAAAGAGTCAATTGAGGTTGAAGCACAAGAAAACTCCAGGAACAACAAGGACAAACACAAGGCCAAATCAAATTTCCTGCACTGATACAATCTTTCTTTGTGTTCCTATCAACCATCTCCAAACTGCTTACATTTCAACCTGCAGAGCAATTTTTTTTAACTGTCCTCTCCAGTAAATCTTAACGTGAGAGTCAGCAAGCATTACATTTTTCTATTTTCTGTATTGGAAAACATCCCCGAGGCAGAAATAAAACTACACACGAAAGATCAAGCAAACAATGCCACAGGGGAGTTCACAGCTGTTTGGACTGGAGCTGGTCCCTGCTGTGTGCTGCTGAGCTTCATCTGATTATGGTAATGTCATCCAGAGACGGGAAAAGGCTATTGTTCCCCTGACAGACAAGATTGATAACCTGTGCTCCCAAATGCATGTTTAAAAACACACATACACACACACACACACACACACACACACACACACACACACATAACAGGGATGCAGAGATGACAATACTGTTTTCTGTTTATCAGCCCTGTTAAATGCCAGTCGCTTTGGCTGATAAAAAGCCAGATACTGTATGTGAAGATGTATGGCTCCAATGATGTGACATGGCACAGACAGAGACAACTGAAAAATGTCTCGAGACAAATTAAATGTCTGGAGAGAAAGACGTGATACATGCAAGACCTCACAACCTGACCTATCTGGATTTAACACATTTAGAACAGTGTTAACAAGGCCTGACGGTTCAGTAAAGAAACACTGCACTAAAAACACTTTAACACTTGACTTAGCAGTGAATAAAGTGAAGACCTCCTCAAAAGTCAAAATAATTTTTCTTTTCCTTACCTCTTGCTGGCCGGTGCGTTGCTGTCCTTCCTGGACCCAGATCCAGATGGAGAGGGCAGAGTGCCGCTGCCTTTCTTTGGTAGGATGGTCCCGTTGTTAACTGTGGGCCGTAATGGCAGGGTGGCGATCATTGGCCTGGCTGGAAGAAAAAAAGGATGACAACAAAATATTCAGGAAAAAGAAGCTGGATACAAGACTAGTACCAGAGTCAGCTGCTGCTGTGGTGTCATTAAAGTAACATCTGCATTTCCTGGTGTTTAATTATCTTGATAATTAGTGAAATTGAGCAAAAATCTACAAAACTTTATTTAAATACTGCGGCGTCCCAGGAGGGCACAGAGGATGTATTGGAAAACCTCCCAGCATGCAACGGGGTAACAGGTTTATGAAGATCACTCTGTTAATGCAGCATTCTACAACATCACTGGTATTAGTGATAGCCAAGGTCAAATTACTGCTTTTCTAAATTAAAATGTGTCTGAAAATACACATAAGCATGAATCCAACACGTTAGCAGCGAAGATGAATTGGCCTATTCATAAAACCTATTTAATGTACAGTACACAACATTAATGAGAGGCTATCTGTTTAATCCTTGTGCAATCATGTGAGCTAGCTAACGCTTAAACACCGTGCAGCACCTATCAATAACTGTGAGGTGAGCTAATTTACATACTATTTAAACTTATCGGGCAACTGGCTGCATTATTATTATAAGTCTGTCGATATTCTTGTGAGCCACAATGATTGTTTTGTAATTATTCTGACAAAAGACTCAGAAACTACCGGTGAAAGTGAAGCAATTTAGGCTAAGGCACCTCGCCATGCTACAACTGCTGCTGACTTAGCAGCTACAATCAACAAGAAAAGACATGAAAACATTTAGAGAATCATCTCAACTCAGCATTATATGTTATATGTATCAGTGGGTCCCTGCTCTGTCTCTCTTTGAATTAAGGGCTCCTTAGCCTGAAAAATGTTGAAGACCTCTGTTCTAATGTGTTCCCACTGCTCCTACAGTTCATCTCTTCTTATTTACATGAGTATTAGGAGTCCATGCGAATATGGTTTAACTGTGAGTCAACTGTGAGTCATTAACTGTGATTCATGGACGGTATACAAAGGTGGACAATGTGTCTCCATGTCCTCCCACTGTACAAAAACTAAGCCAAAATATCTCGGATACAGCAGCCGCCATCTTCATCATTTGGAGCCAGAGTCTGCGTAATAGCATTCAATGACCCAATCCCAAGCAGCGCCATTGATTGCGAGCACACCGGTTGGCACATAAAGCTGCCGATTATGATGTCACACCCCGTTTTAAAAGCATCAAATAACCAGTTCAAACCAAACTTATCACACAAACAATCACTGTGATAACAACTACCTACTACCATACTTCGATGTTTTAGTTTGGCCCATGTCCCATCCAATAACATAAAGGGGGCGGGGTTTGGACTTGGCTGGATGGACTTGCATAGCGTCTTTCTAGTCTTCCAACCACTTAAAGTGATTTTACACTATTCGTCACATTCACCCACTTACACACATTTATTCACTGGTGGCCGAGGCCATACAATGTGCCACCTGCTCACCAGTTAACCATTTACATGGGGCAATTTGGGGTCCAGTGTCTTGCCCAAGGATACTGACTAGAGGAACCAGAGATCAAACTCCCAGTCTTTCAATTAGTGGACAAGCCGCAATGCTATTACCTATACTGCAGCCAGCCACCAGGGGGCGATCGAGATGGTTTGGCTTCACTTTTGGGTGGCTGTCAATTCGCCCATCTTTATATACGGCTGTTTGTCATTACATTTTTGAATTAAAAAATGGTCATAATTACCACAATAATCACATAAAAGTACTTTTTAAATCACAAACAAACATTATTAACTTTGTGTTTTTATCTAATTGAGTGTGGAATAGGAGACGCTCTCTCTTTGCTGTTGTTTAATGCAGTGATAACGTAATTAAAAACTTAAATTAAACTGCACTGCTTAAACACACCCTCTGCAACGCTATCATGCTGTTCAGTAAGCGTTCAAAGAGACATGAAATAATTGCACAGAGTAAAAGTAGAGACAGCACAATAGATCCTACACAAAAGAAATCCTAAATGTAATTCAAATATTAATGAACAAAATTTATCATAATTGATCATATTGTTCTGTTTTGATCACTTTTCTGTACAGATGATGTGTTTACAAATCATTGGCAGGAGGTGGTTTGACAGCACAAAAGGGACATGCACACACACACACACACACACACACACACACACACACACACGCATACACACACGCAGCACATGCCAGCAAGCCCAGAATAACAAATCCAAGCTGCTGCTTTATCTGCAGTGATAAATATTTAATAGACCCCGTTTCATCCAGCAGACACACACACATACACACACGCACAGAGGCCTGCCTACACACACACACACACACACACACACACACACACACACACAGAGGCCTACACACACACATTGCTCTGTTATCTTTAATGTAGTAATTACGCAGCAGGGGCAAACTGAGGTTGTAATTTTGTTAGCATGTTAAAGAAGACGAATGCGTGTGTTTCTGAGTGTGTGTCCGTATGCAGCCTGCATCCATGCGTTGTGCTTCCTGAAACAGATCATCGTGCTTCAGCAGAGGGGAGCAAGCTGCGGACTCCCTGCAGCTAAAAGTGGAGAACAATAAGGGAAAGCAGCTCTGAGTCTGAGTCATCCTCCAGCTCCCAAATCAAACTGAAACTCCATCCGTCCACAGTCACTCCGGAGACCAAAACTGGCAGCGGCTCCGAATCATAATCTGTTCCTTTTTCATCACTGCGATGCACATTTGAAGACATAAAAAGGCATGAAGTGTAGTTGATTTCACATGCAGACTTCATCAGCATCATGGGTGAGGACGCTATAAAAGAGACAAATTGTCCAGAAACACACCTCAGCTGAGAATCGACACATGCAGACAATGTTACACAATAAACACAGAAAAGGCCTGGCTGCTGAGATCATGCTGCATGTGATATCCAGACGTAAATGTACTAATTCTATTTCATGCTACTTCATACTTCTACTCTGCTATCTCAGAGGGAATACTGTACTTTTTTCCACTAAATTAACTTGACACTTAAAGTTACAGGAAGAAATAGAAGAATAAAACAGAGGGAATAAAACAACACACATCGACAGTGGCTCATTCTTGTTTAATGAGGAAATTAATTTTAGGGGCTAAGTGTCCTTGAACAGATAGGTCTCATACACAAAGGTAAACACAAAGTGTGTGCGTAGCAAGTTATTATTTCTAAGTTGTGACAGTTCATTGATAACTTTATCATCCAGTCACTAAGAAAAAAAATGATCAGATGTTTCTGCAAATCACAGATATGTTACATTTGTATGTTATTATGTAGTGGGCTCCCTAAAACTTAACATTTCAACAACGCTGTGGTTAATGTGTGTTTGAAGAATTCCCTCTGTCTCCTCCGACCGTTGCTGTCTCACGGCCTGCTCCTGCTCATTGTACACTATTTAAACCGCCCGGATGCACAGGGCGCACTGAATACAGCCAGGTATGAGGAGGAAGCGTCACAGGGCCGCGATTCGTGTTATTCTATCTCAACCAATCCTCCAAACATTACTGACTGACCCGATGAGTGATTGCCCATGTGAGTCCACTTTTATTGTCTTGTTTGGGAATAAGGAGGCTGATTTTTTCTTTGAATCTAGTGTGTCTGTTATGTGTCACACTGGCACGCTGCCAGGTTTGTGTGCCACATCACCATTTATTCATTTTGTTCAATTGTTCATGACCCAGGACACTCGCTGTGTTATTTTATGACTATTCATGTTGCTTAGTGTAGAAAACATTAGCAGTCATCTGAAGTTGATCTCCTTTGTTCAGTGAATTAATATTCAAAAATCACTGCAATTGTCGCCTATTAATGCAGTTTTAGCACCTTGTTTCCAGCCTTTCAATACTGTATTGTGACCATTGTTTCATGTTAATGTCATTCATTTGTGCCATTAAGGTCACATGAATGGTGAATGCCTTTTGATTTCATCCTCTTTTTTTCTCTATTGTCTTTCAGAAATCATTTGTCAGTCAAATCAATCATCAATCATCACTGCCTGTACACCTGTTACCTGTGGACATTATTCATTTGCCTGTGCTTTAAAATGAACTTTAAAATGACTTTAAAATGAACTTGAAACTCTGGACTCTGCCCGAATTGTTTTCAGTGTGGTTAGGTTTAGGTCCACATGGTTATGGTTAGGGAAAGATCATGTTTTAGCTTAGAATACCTGATTTTGGAAGCACAATCCCCACTAGAAAAGCAGTGATGTCTCAGTAGAAAACAATCACTTTTTGTGGCACTATCTCTGCTAGAAAAAGAGCACCAGGGTGCTAAAAAACACCCATGTTTGATGCCTAAAAAGCTGCTGGAAACACAGCACTGACTCACTATATTACAACTGGTTAAGTTGTTTGTTGGTGAACACTCTTACAGCTTGGCAGGCATCGTGCCTTGGTAACCTGCCATCCACCATCCCCTCCACATCCTGATAACAAAGTTAACTCGTATACAAGTCACTTTAGAAACACTAATATGATACTTATGAGGCATGCAAATGTAACGTATCTGTGGTTTGCAGGAATGTACAATGCCAACATTTTCTTCTGGCGACTGGGCTGTAACTTTAATTATCAGTGAGTCCTTGGTCGATACACACAGCAGACATAAACTTCCCCCTGATTAACAATAAATCTGTTTCCATCTGTGTCTTCAGACTCAGTGCGTTGACCTCAGGCAGTGCATTACTGACAGTAACTGTGTGCTTCCTGGTGAAATACTACTACTGTATACCACATAGTACCGGCAGGCAGTGATTGAAATGTGCTTTTGGTAAACACAACACCGAGCCTGGTTAGTGCAGACAGACTTCACAGTCAGCCTACCTGGCTTCCCAACATTGCTGTCTGCTGAGGGAGACTTTCTCATCAAAGCAGGGTCTATACACATGACGCACAACACGTTTAACGACATGACAGAGGCCAGGAGGAGAGAGGACAGGAGGGAGAGAAAAAGGAAGGAAATACGCAGGGTTTAAAGGGAAGGAGACATTATTAGGAAAGAAAGAGAACAAACTGGAAAGGGAGAAAAAGTTGCAGACCCTGTTGCTCGACATCTCAGGAGAAGTAACTAATAAACCCATGAAAAATGTGTATGTATGTTACCTTTGGTGGGTCCTCTGCGTGACCCCATGGCCTGCTGCTCCTCGGACACATTGAGCCTGCGCACCACATCGGCCAGAGCAGACTTCAGCAGCTGAATTTCGTCCTCCTGCATCTGGACCCTCTGCTCCAGGGAGGCGATGCGGTCGGTAACCTCCATGCTGCTGGCTGCCGACGCACTGTCATCTGAGGAAACACAGGGAGCTCACGTTAGAGATCTGAACATATGTCACAACGCTGGCATATAGTTGCCTTTTACATAATATCAAATATATTAAGTCAGTTAGTGCTGTCAGTGTATAGTTTAACTTTTTAAGAAATATGCTTATTCAATTTTTTGTCACAAATTAAAGGGGAAAACTTAGATATGAAACTAGAGTTAGAAGATGGTTAGCTTAGCTTAACATAAAACAGTTAAACACTTGTATCCTTTTCAAGGCTCTTTCATGATCAAACTAGGAAAATGAACTCAAGAGTGCCGATCTCCACCAGGCCGCCGCCAGAGTTGATCAATGTCCCTCTAGACAATACACGCTGCAGAGCTGCACCCAGTTAAATTTTCCTTCCCGTCTCCCTTACAGTCAAGATGGCAGCGAAGATAACAAACCGGCTTTTTTCCATCTTGTATTGTGCCTAACTTTAGTGGGTCATAACAAATCGGGTATGAAATTAATCTGCAGATGCTCTGGTTCAAAATGAGCTCAAATATTTCAATGAATCTCAGTTTTTGAGCTACAACGAAGGCCAAAATTTGACCTGAAACAGACGGTAAGGCTTTTTGCTTTTAGTCGAGCCAATTTCCAGAAAAGTTACTGCCCCTACTAGCTTATTAAGAGGAGTGAGGGGGCAGCAGGTTATAAAAGTATAAAACAGTCAATAAAACTGATTATTCACAATTCTGAATCACGGCAACCACAGGAGGACCTTGAGCATAAAGTCATACATTTGTATACAAAATTTTAGGCTGACTGGTCCAGTAGTTGGTGTGATTAGCTACGGACAGACAGATACACACACTCACATGCATGATCAAACGCTCCTAGTGAAGATACATGGATTTTGGGAGGTATTTTATAATGTGTTTATTGAGCAAGTTATCATAGCGGTGAAGATAAAAAACAACATATTGTGCAGCCTTATTTATTACCTGAAATTACTCGGGTCCTAGACTCTATTATCATCTGTTTATATACATTAACGTTTTAATTCATGCATATGGGGACAAAAAGGACAAAAAGAAGTCAGGGATGGAAAACAAACAGCAAACTCCTTTCAAACCGTGTTCATGCTTTTATACTTTCAGACTCTTTGTGAAAGCCTTTGCCTCGTATGATTCAAGAAGGCCAACCGTCCTTCCATTAAAACCTTTATTCATGAGCCTGTTTGTCCGTATCTGTTCTGTGAGTTCAAACTAACTTAACATATTATTACCATTTCTCCACCTGACACCCCGATGGAGGCCAAGCACAGGCCACCAGGGTCCACTTCATTAATGATAACACACACACGCAAGGTCTTCCCCATTAGGACTTTGATGTCACAGTGGCTTGATGAAATATTAATGTAAATCACTGCTGTGTGTTCCCTGCAGATTTGTAATAACAGTCTGATGCATTATGCATTAGAGAGCAGGCATCTGGTGATTAGGCAGATCTGCAGTCTGTGCTCCTTCTCAGAGTTGGAGCTGAAACCCGACTGCCTGCTAACATTATGGAAATCTGAGGAAGCTCTTGACTTCTGTAAATAAGATTCTTAAACTATCAAGTACAACAGTGTTTTAAACACACTGAAATGTGTGAAGTATCTGGATTTCTGGTGAAAACAAAGTGGTGTGATGAACCTCTGCGTCTCTTTGATAAACAAAAGCTGCTAAGGGGATTCAGGACATGACCAGAGCCTCCCATCAAATATCTGCCTCCACATAAAAACAACTTTGTGAAACTGCAAAGGTGCTCTTCAGTATCATATTATCATGGAAGACGTGCAATACCGATGTTTGTTGCTATTCTAATTTGAAAAATGATTAAGGGTGCACTGATCTAACCTAATCTAACTGAGCTTTGGGTCACTGCCGATACTTAGTGACAATCCAATAAGGTGTGTGCCTGTGTGGAAGTGACTGGGATCACTCATTTATGTGTAATGCAACGTCAGGCTTGATTTAAATGCTGCTTTCATATCAATTTACTGAATTATTTTTTTTATCAAAATAATAAAGTGTGAACCAGCAACTAAATAAAATAAAACTGTTATGACCAAAAAAAAAAATATCTTGGCAATAAAAAAAAAAAGGAAATTCCAGCATACAGCAATACAATTTCATAAAACTACGCAGAGGTGAAGAAAGTATTCAGATCCTTTACTTAAGTAAAAGTACTAATACCACACTAGAAAAATACTCAGTTACTTGTAAAAATGCATTGAAAATGTTACTTAAGTATTAGTTTGTAAAAGTATCCATGCATATAAATTTTAAATCAATTCAATAAATCAAAAATAATAAAAATTAATTAAAAAGAAAAGCATCAAGTCCTCATAACTGAGAAGCTTGAACCTTTAATTTTTTTGCATGGAAAATAACAAAATATTTCTGTCAATCAATTGATCAATTGTTTCAGCTTCACTTGTATATTCTTATATGGTTTGTGTGCAAAATTCTTAATTAAAGTAAGTAATAAGATATGAAGTTATGAAATATATGTTGTGGAGTAAAAGAAAAGTATTCTCCTTGGAAGTGTAGTAACGTAGAAGGAGAAAGTGGCATGAGATTAAAATACTCAAGTAGAGTAAAAGTACCTCAAATTTATAATTCAGTATTGTATTTGAGTAAATGTACTTAGTTACATTAATTGATGTAGTGCGCACATGTGTAATTGGATGTAAACACTGAATTGAATCAAATAGATTTGCTCCGTTGTCACCGATACCAGATATAGCTCTATGAGACAGTATTGGCCCGATATAGAGTAGATTGGACATTGCTGGCAATAAAAAAAGCTATTTCAATCAATTGAAAACCAATCAAAAACCAATAAATGTTTCAATTAATGCTTGAAACTCTAAAGTCTTAATCGTTGTAAAAATTGAGCATTTTCTGGAAGAAAACCTCCAAAATATGCAGTCAGATACATTTACTTAAACCACTGCAATCTTCAAAATGTAGTTCTTAATGTGTAAATAATCATAAAAATTGTGAGTCTCTGTGTTTGCAAGACCATCACACACTCTTTATGCACCACAGCAAGTATTCAGATGTACATAATCCCACAAGGTCCAGTGAAGTCATTTTAATTTAATTGGCAGAACATGCTGGAAAAAGCAATTTCACAGATTTGTTTATGAGTGGACAAATTCCATTAGTGAGTAAAATCCTCTGCCTGTTAGACGGTTGTGAATTGTTTAAGTCGGGGACACCCTCCATGAGACAGGATGGTAAATTGGTGCATTAGGCAGATGGGACACTTAATGCTTGTAGCAGAAAATGGAAATCTGAGCAGATTCAGAATGACTGAATCAACCAATTACTGTTCACACAGAGACACACCAGCTATAGTGTACATCATACACACACACACACATACACACACAGAAGTGTCCCGTTAGTCACTGTCACTGCCATTACTGGTGTCTTGTGATTAATGACTTGTTGGACGCATAAGAAAAGATTTCACTGACACACTGCTTCACATTGACAATGCAGCGGCCCTCCAAGGGAGATTCCATAATGAAAACTCCCCATCTGGACAAATGGAGGCAGATGAAAACTGCAGGTGCATAATTTAATACATTACACTCCCAGCAGTGAAGTGTAATATGCTTATACATTCACTTACCCAGAGATTTCTACTTCTTGTTTCATAACGCCAATCTCACTTCTCTGCCTGAACACATAAAGCCTTTTTCGGAGAATCTTAATAACTTTCTGCTCACCTGAGACGCCTTTTTTGAAGCGGTCCTTGTTCATATTCACATGCGAACGTGGGTGAATATCCACAGATAAAGCTTCTATTATCTGCTCAGCATCTGTTCTGGGTCTGCTCCCAACACTGACACAATGACAGCATGATACCATCAGTCGTGGAAGTACAATGACTGGCTGTCACGACCATGATTCCCCCAGCTCTGCGCTAACATCCTCCGTCTGTCACCCTGCTCCCTGGTTAACACCTCTGGGGCAAGTTGACGCCCTGTAAGGCGTTCACAGGCTCGATGGAAATCAGAAAAGGTCAGTGGGGCATAAAGGTCCAGTGTGTAGGATTCAGGGGGATATACTGGCAGAAACTGAATATTATAAAATCACCTGAAGATAAGAATTATTGTGGTTTTGTTACCTTGGAATGAGCCATTTATATCTACATAGAGAGTGGGTCATCGTCTACGGAGATTGCCATGTTGCACCGCCATGTCTCTACAGTAGCACAGAAAAGACAAACCACACACTGGCTGTAGAAAGGACCATTCATGTTTTCAGTTTTCACGTCAGCCGGCGTAGTTAGCAGCCCATCGTGACGAGCAACATCAGAAAAACACTGATTATTTAATGTAAAACTGTTTTATTTAGTGTTTTAACCTCCTGAAAGTCTCTATCAGAAAAAAGGTGAGCACATATTGAGTTATCTGAGAAAAAAAGAGCGCACATTAGTAATTGCTGGGGCAGCAGCCCATCATCTGCCGAAGGGTGCAGGGGAAACACTGACTTGTGACGTGAAGCTACTTAATTCAGTGTTTTACTGGTTTTAATCACTGAGTCCATTTGTTCAGGAGAGGAAGAGACTTCTGGCGATAATTTGGCTCTCAGTAAAAACCTCCTGAACAATGAACACTGTGGGAATTCTGACCAGGAGATGTTTCAGCTGGTTGCAATCTGCAATCCTCACTGTTAGATACACTAAATGTCCCTAAATCATACACACTCCACCTTTAAGTTTAGTGTTTATTTTCATACAGAGGAGTGTGTGTTGATGGTGTGACAGTGACCACAGCACAGTCGTGTGTGTGTGTGGGCTATTTTCTCTTCGTGTGACAGCACTCTTCAGGTTCAGGTCACATGTTGTCTGTCCAGACAGTCCGAATCAGTAAGATGTCAATCTTCATTTCACAACAAATCCATCAGCACATACACCCCAAGACACTCGCATCTCTCTTTCATACCCACAAAAGCAGATCATTACACCCCGCTGATCTCC